TAGAATATCCACGCTAGTCTCAAGACTCCCAATAGTAACCACACACGAACGATAGACATGATCTACCACAACATAATCTCCTACCGGTGTGGACACACATACAGAAGCACTCAAAGAATCACGAGGCACAACCAGATATGAAGCAAAATAGGAGGACACATAGGAATAAGTAGATCCTGGATCAAATAGAACGGAGGTATCTCTATGGAAAACGGGAACAATACTTTGATCACTGCATCGGATGACTTGGCCTCAGGCCTAGCTGGAAAAGCATAAAATTGGGGCTGGGCCCCACCACTCTGAACCGTGTCTCTAGGATGACCTCTAACTGGCTGGCCTCCACCTCTAATGGCCTGACCTCCACCTCTAGCTGCCTGACCCCTCCTCTAGCTGGCTGAGCAGGCGGTGAAGAAACCGGTACTGGTATAATGGCACGAGAATCGTGCCGAGATATGTCGCTCGACAACCTAGGGCAATACCTCCTGATGTGACCAATGTTCCCACATTCATAACACTTATCTTGTTGTCATGGTTGCTGAAGCTGAAGCTGACCAGAACGGGCCGGATAACCGCTGTAGTGACTCTGGAGTGGTGGTGCACTGATAGGAGCTGAATGTGCACTAAATGTTGGCTGCCTAGAGTAAGGCATAATAGGACTGTGACTCCCTGAAGCACCGTGAGATGCCTGAAGTGCTGAATGAAATGGTCTGGGAGGATGACCCTACCAAAATTACCCCTGCCTCCAGATGGGGCACCACTGAACCCACCGAACTGACGAGGCCTCTTATCAGACCCCTGCCCTCTCTCCTGTGCAAGGACCATCTTGATCCTCCTAGCAACATTAGGAGCCGCCTGAAAGGAAATCTCACTCCCGGTCTCCTTGGCCATCTGAAGCCTGATAAGGTGAGTGAGACCCTCAATAAAACTCCTTATCTCTCTCCCTCAGTAGGTAGTAAAAGGAGAGCATGATGGGCTAAATCCACAAAACGGTTCTCGTACTGAGTAACAATCATACTGCCCTGCTGTAGACGCTCAAATTGCCTGTGGTAATCCTCTCTCAATGTGATAGGAAGGAACTTCTCTAGAAATAGCCGTGAGAACTTCTCCCAAGTCAATGCTGGCGACCCAGCTGGTCTGGTCAACATATAATCTCTCCACCATCTCTTGGCGGAACCTGTCATCTGAAATACAGCAAAATCCACCCCATTAGTCTCAACTATACCCATGTTCCGCAATACCTCATGGCAACGGTCAAGATAATCTTGTGGGTCCTCAGAAGGTGTACCACTGAAGTGAACTAGAAAGAGCTTAGTAAACTTATCCAGTCTCAATAAGGCCTCAGAAGATATAACGGGCCTATCACAAGCCTGTGTTGCAATAACTGACTGAACTACCCCAACTGGCGGGACTGCTGGAACCTGGTACTGGGGAGTCATCTGCTCCGAAGCGGGAGTAGTGGGAGTTTGTGCTCCTCCCCCAGCCTGTGAGACAGCTGGTGCCACTGGAAATGTACCATTCTAGGTCACGCCCTCCACAAGACTCACCAAACGGACTAGAGCATCCTGAAGCATTGGAGTAGCTATGAATCCTTCCAGAACCCGAACTGGTCCAACCGGTACAGTCTGAACTGGAACCTCCTCCTGGAGATCCACCTGAGGTTCTACAACAGGTGTTGTTGCTCGAGCTCTAGACTGAGCTCTACCTCTGCCTCTGCCTCGGCCTCTAGCACGACCTCAGCCTCGACCTCTACCCCTGGTCATAGTTGCCACCGGGGGCTCTGGTCCCTGTCCATCGGTAGATGTATTACGTGTTCTCACCATCTGCGAGAGAATAAGAATGGAATGGTTCAATCATCGATGATAGAATAACATCGCACGACAGAATAAGAAAGAAGTGATATTGTTCCTAAACTTCATAGCCTCTAAAAGATAAATACATACGTCTCCGTACCGATCCTTCAGATTCTACTAAGCTTGCTCATGACTCGTGAGACCAAAGTAACCTAGTTCTCTGATACTAACTTGTCACGACCCGAAATTTCCACCTTCGGGACCGTGATGACGCCTAACATTTTACTTGCTAGGCAAGCCAACATTAGAATATAATTTTTCATTTTAACACAATTTTTAAATTAATTAATAACAAAAAAATAAATGCGGAAATAAAATCTGAAATAAAGTGAGTAATCCATAATAATCGCGATGTCTAAATACCATCCCAGAACTGGAGTCACAAGTGCACGAGCTTCTAGAATAATACAAATAAGGGTCTGAATAAAATAAAGTTGTCTGAAAGGAAACACGCAGCTAAAATAAAGTAGACGGGGACTTCAGAACTGCGGATGTTGTGCAGTTATACCTCAAGTCTCCTCTGGGTAGCTGAAATCCGAGCAAGTCTATAGTACGCCGATGGGACCAACTCCGAAATCTGCACAAGAAGTGCAAAGTATAGTATCAGTACAACCGACCCCATATACTGGTAAGTGCCGAGCCTAACCTTGACGAAGCAGTGACAAGGCTAAGGCAGGTCGCTTACATTAACATGTACGCAATCATAGTAATAACAACAATAATAGAAATAAAACAATTATCTCATTTCAACATTTGAAACCAACTCGGCAGTCATAATCAATTATTATTTCAATTAATTTCTATTGCGGCGTGCAACCCGTTCCAACAATATAATTATTCAATAAATTTTCATTGTGGCGTGCAACCCGTTCCAACAATATACACTTAAAAATAAATTCATTGGCGTTCAACCCGCTCCAACAATATAATTAAACAACTCTTAAATGTAAAAAATACTCCAATAAATACCACATTTAATTAGAAATTATTAGACAACAAAGCATACAATTATTATAATTTATTTAGGAAACAAGTAATGACAAGTAGCAATTAATTGTGCAAATTAAGGATGAATTAGGCATTTTTCATATTTACTATGCTAAATGTCAAGTAGCAATTAAGACACATAAATCAAATAAGCATGTAACAATTATTGCATGAATTCAAGAATTGATAATTGACAAGGAATATGAGAAACGATTATTATAATAATTAATTTGACAAAGTATAGGCACTCATCACCTTGCCTATACATCGTTACATATGAAATTCACTTAGCAAATAATTCAAGGGTTCTATTCCCTCAAGTCAAGGTTAACCACGACACTTACCTCGCTTTGCAACCAAATTCAAGAATCCAATAAACCTTTGCCTCGCGAATTCGTGTCCGAAATCCTCAAATCTAGTCATAAACAATTCAATATACTCAATACAAATCGTAGGAATTAATTCCATATGAATTTACTAATTTTCAAGATTAAAATCCGAAATTCATCTCAAAAATATCAGTGGGACCCACATCTCGAATCCCGAAATATTTACGAAAATCGAACACCCGTTCCGATACGAGTTCAACCACACAAAACTTATCGAATTCCGACATCGGATTGGCTTTCAAATCTTTATTTTACATTTTTGGAAGATTTTATAAAAATATAATTTTTCTTCCATAAATTCATGGATTCATAGTGTAAATGAGTATGGAATAATGAAATATAACTATAGGATAAGGAACACTTACCCCAATTTTTTTCCATGAAAATCACCCAAAAATCGACTTACCCGAGCTCAAAATTGTGAATAATGAAAAATGGGGCGAAATCCCATTTCTAGAACTTAAGTTCTATTGTCTAGATTTTTACTCGTCGCAATCGCGGGAATTTATTCGCGATCGCGTAGAACAATTTCTTCCTAGGTTCATTTTACTCTTCGCGATCGCGAAGAACAAATTTGAGTGCCCCAGCTTCTGCCTCATTTCCTCTTCGCGGACGCGATCCACTCTACGCGTTCGCGGTGCACTAGGAGCTAACCTTCCGCGATCCGTGCCTATCTTCGTGAACGCGAAGGGTAAAAATCATGCTCACAATTATCTCTTCGCGATCGCGAAGCACAATGCACCAAATGATAGTTGAAGCTCTAAAACCAGATTTTTCCAAAGTTCAAATGGTCCGTAGGCTATCCGAAACTCACCCGAGCCCTCGGGCCTCTAAACCGTACATGCACACAAATCTAAAAGCATCATACGAACTTACTCGCATGATCAAAACACCAAAATAATGCCTAGAACTACGAATCAGACACCAAATCAAATGAAATTTTTAAGAAAACTTAGAATTTCTATTTTAACAACTGGACGCCCGAATTACGTCAAACCAGCTCCATTTCTCACCAAATTTGGCAGACAAGTCATAAATATAGTTATGGAGCTACACCGGAATCCGGAACCAAAATACGGATCCGGTATCAACAAAGTCAAACATCAGTCAAATCTCTTAAGTCACTAAACCTTTAAACTTAAAAATTTCGACAACATGCGATAACTCGAGCTAGGGACCTCCGAATTCGATTCCGGGCATACGCCCAAGTCCCAAATCACGATACGAACCTACATAAACTGTTAAAATACTGATTCGGGTCCGTTTGCTAAAAATGTTGGCCAAAGTCAACTTAATTGAGTTTTAAAGCTCTATTTGATATTTTAATCCATTTTTCATATAAAAACTTTTCGAAAAATTATACGGACTACGCACGCAAGTCAAGGAGCAATAAATAGTGCTTTTCGAGGTCTTAGAATACAGAATTAATTATTAAATTTAAATATGACATTTTGAGTCATCACAGAAATCTTCATTTTGATTTATTTTAGTTATAAAACCTCACCGAATTTTCGCCTATTGTTGAATTAGGTAACCAGTAAATTTTGGCCAAGGATGTTCTAAAGAATCTGTTGTTCCAAAGAAATGACAAACTTTTCATATATTTAAACATTCAGCTGTGTTATTAAAAGCAACAAATGATACATTAATGGAACAAGAACTGCCAAACCTTAGAAAAGAAACCATTATCATAAAATGATGTCTCATGGGACAAAGGATGGTTGATTTGTCCTTCCAAATAAAACTTGGATACAGCTACCTAATTAAGAGTATGTACAGCAGAATATTTCTTAATATCAAACAACAGCGCCTCAAATCCATACAAGTTGGAATCAGCTAGTTAATTTACAACACCAGATTAATTAATCCCATGATTGTTGATCTACCCCGTAAAACCTTCACTAAAACAAACGACAACTCCTACATTCTTGCTGGCTATAAATAAATAAAAAATAAGCGATCTACGACTAGTAACAAAGAATCTGAATGGTCACACACTGGACTCAGCTTTAGATCCATTTTCCAGAAGAAAATCCGGTTTTCTTTGGAGGAACTTTCAAGCCAAGTTCTTTACATTGCTCTTCATCAGGTTGTGAGCTCAGAAATCCTGTCCCAACGAAGTGTACTAAGGCTGATGCATCCTCGAGTTTTCTTGTTAAACTCAATGATGCCAAGGAAAGAGGAGCTGAAGAAGTCTTTGATTGCTTCTTTGTTGGCACAGTATCCAGCTCTGCTGCTCTAAGAAAGCGCTCGGTTGCTGCTTCCCAAGAAAGCTCATGCCTTTGTGCGTCAGTCAATGGGGCAGGCTCATCAGCCAATGCCTTGAGTATAGCTTTAACGAATCCATCACCATCATCATATGTTCGGCAATTTGGGAACTGCATGAAGAACTCATTTGACGGATGGTTGGCGCATACAACAATTTTGCCCATAGCTAATGCTTCAGCCGAGGTTGTACAAACCACATCTGTGGTACTTGGATTAAGGAGCACCTTATAGCTGAAACCAAAAAAAGAAGCAAAGACTTCAATTGAAAGAATGGCAATTACGAAACTCCCTACTATAAAAAGTACTCAAACTCTGAGCACTTATACGACTTAAATTATGTTTTTAAATATAACACAAAAATAACCCAAAAAATCTATAAGATCAAAAGAAATCAGAATCAATGAACCAATGATTTTAGCATGATTCATATTCGCTTGGAAAAGTTGTGCCTCATGAACAAGACACAAAAGTTATGTACCAAATGGAGGAGGTTCTAGATATGTTTCAAACAACATTTGAAAGATCCTACAGTAAAACGTTATGTACCAAATTTATCTTTAAGATTGAAAAAGTATCCATGGACTCATTTGTCGTTAACTTATATCCAACTGTCACAGAAAATGATCCAATTATATTCATGTCAGACGTGGTTTCGGTCTCACTCCACGTTTCTCTCTCAATATTTTTGGAGACGAGAAATAATAGCTTCAGTAATGGCAAGGTATATCGTTACTGATAAAGACAAGAAAGGGGAGGAGTTGGATGGCTATAGGAGAAAGAAAAGATGAATAAAGTAGTTACATTTGAGATCATACCAACAATGAGTATGCCTTAATTCTTCAGTTTGCGAAGCTAGAGAGGCTCCTCTAGGTGGCTCTCAAATTTAGGCATTTTAAACTTTTTATCTTCAATACCTTAGAAACACAAGGAAATTAACTTGAGAAATATGATAGCAAGATGTGGATGCTAGTTAGATATCCATAGATTCATTTTCATAGCACACAAACGCATTGGATATTGAAAATGAAGATGCAGTCTCAAAGAAACATGAGAAAGAAGAAGTTCAAAGAGCACTAGGATCTTGAAAGCTACTTTGATTTCAAGCTTCCTACAAACTGAATTGGCTTTCTTTTTCTCTCTTAAGTTGGTTTTTTCTATGTTTCCATTTTCTTATATTCATTAGCTTTTCTGCGTTTCCAGATTAGGGATCTTGTACTAGCAAAATTTTCATTTTTAGTCAAGTCAACGATACTGCTAAATTGAGGAGTGCTTTTAGATTGCTGTATTTATTATAATAACCAAAAAAGGATTGTCGTATTTATTCTGCTTGCTAGCTCTAGACGGCAATATTAATGAGGAAAATTGATCATGATGCTTTTGAATCATTAATATCAAAAAATTGTAAAGTTTGCAGCAATTCTGCTATGTAATATTTATTCATTAAAATTAGGTTAAAATTATCAATTGTTTTAGAGCACTTGTGACCTCTGTTTAGCTTTCCTCCTTTCTCGTTTAACTTTTTGCAATTATCAGGCCTAAATATTTGCAGTGTCGAAAACTTACATTTTCTCTTAACTTTTAGGCCACGGGTTTTTAACACCCTAAAATTAAGGTGGCAAAGGAGCTTGAACCAATCATAGATTACTGCTCACAATAGTGTGTTTATGAGTATCCAAAACAGCCCACTTCTTCTCCAGTTCTCACTTCCAGTTCCAAGTTCCACCTATTTTGAACCCTTTAAGCCCGAGTCTAGTTCAACAATTTAAGGCAAGGCACCAGAAAATAAACCCCAAAATCTCTATATATAGTTATCCAGAATCATTTACATTGATTTCACCAGAGTATGTAGGCTTCCCTTTGCAGCCAGCAAAGTGGATCAGGCATGATAAAGTAGGTTCTAGAAACAGCAGATGCATACAAATGATATATATATAACAAGAGGGGAAAACAGTTTAACAGTAAAAAGTGGTTAGCTCTGCAGGTTCTTACTCGTGAAATAAAGGATCTGCATGATCACGTCCAGGATGAGCCCTAACTGCTAATTCCAACTTCTTAGCTTCCACGTCAATCTGAGCAGAATCCTCACCACTACCATATAAATCAATCTCAAATCCGGATAGTTCCTTTTGATGATCACGTAAAAGATCAAGTAGCTCCTTGTACCCTTTGTTCCACAACTTTTTACCAATGTAATAGACACCTTTGCTGAATGCTTGATTGCGAATTTGCTGCTTCTCTCTTGTTTTCAGCCCAATCTCAAGGAACTTTGGATTAACTCCATGCACATTGCAGACCACTGATCTTGGTAGATCCTGGGTTGCAGCGGATAGCCGAATGACCTGCCAATTCAAGCAAGTAACTTCTATAGATCAAGGCATTACGCATAAAGTACCAAAAGTCATGATTCGTAATTATACTACAACTAATCGGTCCAACCAAGTGATCATCAATTCCTATATTACAACCGACCAGATGACCTGAGGCGTGCCTAGCATGCAAAATAGACTGCACAGTGTTCAACTTTTGAGCATGATAGTTTTTGAAAAGGAAATAATATGCAAGCATGTTTCTGCAACAGCTGTTCAAACTTAACAAAGAAACATCAGTACATTAAAGTGTCAAATGTCAAAGAGTTACTTTCAACCTAGGTTAGCTATTAAT